ATCACTGTCTATATTTCTCTTTGACGTATCATTTGAAGGCAAAACAAATCTTTGTCTACGCAAGGCATTAGTCATAATTCATTTCTTCATTGCTTTATTGTTCTATATTTAAATGGTGTTATGATTATTGATATAATTGTCTGTCATGATATTTTTATTTTAAGCGAACATCACATTATACATTTATTCCGAAAAGAACAGTTTTATCAATGTGAAGATACAAAGCACACTTGTTCATGTAGAACCTATGTAATATATTAAACGTAGTTTATTTGTCTATAATAATTTATTTTTATACGACTATTATTATTAATATTAGATTGAAAAAATATCCGACAAATTTATTATCTTTTACATTGCATGGCTATTATAGAACTATTTTAAACTGAAAACCGTCTCGTATTCCATGGAAGTACTAACAAGATTCTTTGCAATTTTACCTCAATAAATCCTTTACAAATAGGTTGATTAGTTCGCACGGCTGTCGACCGTTCTCCTCCCTGATGTGCTTTAGGCCCTTCGCAAACTTGTTATTTTTAACACTTTAAAATCAATCGCTCTATAAGTATTTACACATTGTTGTCTAATTTCAGAGATTTGTGAATAATTGTTTTGTTTCGTAGGTTTAGTTATTAGGAAGCTTTAACAGATGATAAGGTCCAGGGTATGAATTCCGGGTTGCATTTAGCTGTTATTAATGATATATCTGGTACCGGCTCGAAGTTTTGGAAGTAGGTAATATTAGCACAATGCTCCGTAGATCACGTTAAGCCAAACTAAGGTAATCGTTAAAACTCACCAAACTCCATTTGGGTAGCATGGGTTTAAGCTCCTATAAAACAGGGAGCAATAAAATTATCGTACTCGGCTCGAATTTGGAATTGGACTACTTTTGACCAAGTGTTAGACGTAGAAGTAGTAAACAATTAAGCAAAACACTTTTAACGGGTTAAAACGAGAAATGCCTTTTAATTTCGTTTAACAGACAAACAAGAAGTATATTAGTTGACTTTATTATTTACAATTTATTTTAACTAGGGTATGTCGTTTCATACAATGGTTGCTTTTGAAACGGTGAAGTGTTTTATTTTATTTATTAATTATTTATTATTTTATACTTTATTTCAATTTAATACTGTCTGTAGTTTAAGCGAGTAGTACACATTCAGTAGGTCAAAGGCTGCTGCAAAGCAACCGAAACCTCGGGCCGAAGTTATTTTCAAATAAGTTTAACTAATATATATCGCGCTTTAAACCGTTAAAGTGTTTTATTTAAATTTGTATGTATTGGATATTTTCAATGATAATCCACAGATAAAGAAAACGCTGTGTGCGAAGGCTCTAATAGGCACAGCTAGCCACATGACGTTAATTCAACGTTAATGTACACTAACTTTTGACCCCGCGTATGAAGAGATAATCTGATCTCCGCCATTCATGGAACTCTGTGGAAAGTGTGGAGTAAACAGGGGTGCTAATATTGTACTAGAGGACTTATAACCGCGTACAAATAAAACCTTTTTAATTGCTCTGCTTTATGGAGCTGGAAGTTTATGGCCTTTTTTAAAGCTTCATAAGCTGTTGTGTAATTCGTGGAACTGCCAGTTCTTTGTTTACTTTGTTTTTGAACTGGCTTAATTACCCAAGATCCCTTTAACCAACCGTTATATATTCCGGGGTATTATATTAAATCGATATCAACAATTTACAATGTATTATATTATAATCAATGCCGATCGCCTGTGGAAAAAAGGTCGTCATCCCATCGCGTTTAAGTTTAAGTCAGTGGAGGTATAAATGCCGAGCAGCCATAAAGTTTGTCTGCCTTCTCGTTAAGAAAAAAATGATAGTAGGGCAACTGTAAATTGGCATCATGTTTGCACGCAATATGCGATAGCTCAAGCTTTTCAAAGCTAGCTTTGAAAGCTTAACTTTCAGCTGACTGTACCTTTTCCCAGATTGCTCTGTTTTGTGTACACGTACATACATATATATTTTTATTTAAAACTAACTATTTTTTATTACTACAATTTTGAAAAACCTCGCTTGCGTTAGCTCGGTCTCTGAAGGGGCAACAGAATATCATTGTTGGGACAACAGTCTCAACGTAGCCGAGTGGCTTTCTTTTCAGAGGCAACTAGGTATATTGTGGTCTATATACAAAAAATATTTACTTTTTGATATTATTTATTCGATTAAGTTTTGATTGTTATGTATTTTTAGTTTTCTATATACTTATTGTTATGTATTGTACTTGAAATAGTTTGTTTTTTATATCATTTCTCTTTAGTTGAAATTTCTAGACTTAATATATATGTCATAACTCCAAACAATCAAACAAATAAACAAACTCTCCAGCTTATATATCAATAAATCTGATATTATTTTACTCAATAGTTTAAAACATGTATTAAAAAAGGGTTACAAAATATAGTCATAAAATAAAGTAAGGTTTATAACCTTCCCACACATTTCGTTGAATTGTCAAAAGAGTTTTATTAGTGTTATTACCAAACACTGATATGGGCGTACTTTGTGTAATACGACATCACCTTTTCACTTGTGATGAAATCTCCGGACTTTCACCTTTTCGTAATGTGATACCCCAGTTGGAGAGAAAAACCTTTAAGTACATATAAATATGTGTCATAAATCTTAGTTATTAAAATGTGTATGGTGATGTATTCAGCGTTATTATTTTGAGGGACAATAAAGATTTTATTTTTATCATTTTTTATTTTATATAACTTTATTTAATTTAAGTCCTGCATTGAGAATTTTATGAAATAAATAAGTAAATAAAATTAAAGTTAAATATTTCAAAATGTCTGTATTAGAAATGTGGAAGATTTAATTAATAAAAAAAGCAACGTCTATTTGAATTAAACTTTTAACGGTTTAAAACGTGAAATATATTTTTTAAACGATTGTAAATGTTCTTGCCTTAACTACAGGCAATACTTAAGCAACCTCTGCCCATTTATAACGATTGTCGGCTATACCTATGTAGACCAAAGAAATCGATTAGCTTCCGATGTTCGTGTGGCAAATTCTCTATCAACTTGTTCGTAAAACAATTTTCCAACTTATGAATTTCGAATCTTGGAGACGTCAAAGTTGAATCGTAGACTACACCCGTAGAATAATCTTATTCGTCAAAGTTTCAAAACTTTTGCGTTATATTTCAAAGGAAATAAGGTTTTGGCGAACCGCCTCTGACATTTGTAATATTCTTTTGGACTTTATACGGGTGTTAAGTTTAACAAGCCTACTTTGAAGCCCGTATATCGATAAAATAAGTTATTCGGATCTTGATAATAAACTTTCCTCGACCCGAAATGAATTTACTTACGTAATGTTCGTTCGAGTAGTAAAACAAGTGATGTAAATTGTTAGTGGGTTCAAAACCCGCGCAAGATGAATTGTTATTTAACTAATTTGATTGTAGGTATGACTCTCGTGATTTGAGCACATTAAGCATTGGTTTAGTGCTCTAAAAGTATTTTTTCTTATGAGAGACGACTTATTAAGGAGTGAGAAATTAGCAGATTGAAACCTTAAGTTAACGTTACAATAGACAATATTTAAATACTAGCTGCGCTCGTGGGTTCGTCCTTGTTTAATTGTTATTTTGCTCATCATATTATTTATTAATTTTTGAAAAAACTACGTCCTTAGCTGTTTTAAATTGTAGCCATGACGTCCACGCATCCCCTCATTCTTGCGAGTTAATCTTGAAATACAAACATATACTGCCATTAGATAATTTAAAGAATAAGCATTCCTTCATACATTATTGTTGGTTTCTCAAACTGTTTTTGCAGCTCACGCAACAGAAGCCCTCAAAGATGTATAATTTTCCCAGACTTATATATGTATAATTTGTCTCGCACTGTCGGTCGCAGCCTGACGTATAGCCTTTGTCGATAAGTGGAATCAACACAAATATAATTTTTCAATACGATATCAGTAGTTTCTGAGATTAACGCGTTCGGACAAACTCTTCAGCTTTATAATATTATTATAGATATGTAGATACTCTCAATCGATCAATCTGCGCTAGTTTTTATTTATAGCTCTCAAGTGTGTAATTTCGCCGCTATTAGCTGAAACACGGTCGAGCAATAAAACAATGCTCGTTCATTTTTACTGCGTTCATTATCAGCTACTAACCTATCGAAGTTTTCTACGACCCGGTTAGGTAAAATAAATCCAGGCTTATCACTTAGCAGCCGTAAGTATTCAGTATTCGCAGGTGCTTTCCACGTTATCGCTTCACTCTAATAGCAAAATACCCGATACGTAAAGTGGGACGAGAAATATAGGCATTTGAATAAGGAGAATAAATCTATGGAGGTGTTTCGTGTTTATCTATAATTGCTTGTTGGAGTGCGTGGTAGTGATCTGCGTCACGATGCGAGGGGGTAATTGTTCACCGTAATTAGATTTGAAGTATTTCTCTTGAAGCATCTTTTAATCAATTGGTTAGAGCACAGAACGCTGCGGATGCCGGTTCAAGTCCTGCCCGAGTCGTATTTTTTTTTCAATTGATAATTTTGTTGTACCGCTAAGATCAATTACTTTAATTAAAACTGTACCAATTCTAAAAATATTTCATATATATATATATTCCATATATATATAAAATTCACGTTAAACTTCAAAATTAAATCATCATATTTTCAAAATTAAAACACCCGTTGGAATAGTTATTTAACAGAATTACACTAAATATATCTATAGCTTACGCGAGTAGTATACATTTAAAATTAAACACTTTAACGGTTTAAAACGCGATATATATTAGTTAAACTTATTTGAAAATTATTTTAACTACGATGACTACGGTGGTGAGCCTCTCTGTGGCCACGGCTGCTGCAAAGTATTCCAAACGTCGGGCCGGTAATTTCACTTCAAACTACTTAAAAGTATTCACTTACTCGGTATTTATTTTTCGATTAACATGTATACCGTGTCTCACTTCATGTTGGTTGTTTCAGGTGTGGTTGTGATGTCATGGTGGTGGACACTGGCGGTGCTCGTGGTTTCACAGCCCGTCCGCGCCGCGCCCCGGGCGGCCACCGGTGAGATATTTTACAGTAAGCATACTGCACTTCTTCATATTCAACACTGACACATCACTGTGCTCTCATGATTTCTGGAACTTGCACTTATTTGCCTAAACCTGTTCGTGTTGGCTGATGTTTCTTAGCCATTCCTAGACTATAATTTACGTATTTCGGTTTTAAGATGAGATGACTAATAAAGTCAAAAATTATTTATTCATGTTTTCGTGAAAAATCAAAATTTATATGAACTACCAGTTCACACGGTTACATAAAAACCTATGGGCCTCATAAAAGAAAATAAAAATTAAACATTTTACAATACATGGCGCGAGAGGTTGAATATGAAAATTTCGATGATGACGTGTAGGACACGGTAGCCAAATTCAACCAATAATCGATTTCAAATTTAACAAATATAAAATAGGTCTAAATAAAAAGTCTCTTGTATTTTCTCCAGTTTTTTAAATATGGTTTAGTATTAAACGAAACCCTGTTTAACGGTTCAAAATGCGAATTATTCACGTAAATTAATATTTAACTAAGGCTTGATGATATTTATAGTTTACACACCTAACATTCAGCCTTTTAATTTTACAGTACTAGGCATACAGTTATTTGGCAGAATTAAACTAATGAAAACGGAAATAAAGCACGACGCGTGTACGCAATTTTAATTACCTAGCTCTATGCTAGGGTTGGACCTTGAAAGCGTGACGTACTAATTGCTCATCGCCATAGCATCGCTATCTACAATTTAGTTTCCATTCTAACTCGATAATTCTTTAATGATCGAGTTAGAATGGTCGTATCTTTTACTATATAGTACTTTGTCCTATCCGTACCCGATAGTAAATATCTTGGAAATAAAAAGCTCTTAAGACTTCGTAACTTCATTACGCGACGTTCTATAAAATTGTCGTAAAATAAGTCTTTAATATCGAAGTACCGATTGAAATTATAGATAGTTTCAGAACCGGTCTCATAAGTAAAAGTGTTATAGAGATATTACGTTTGAGAAATACACATGGTCGACTAAACAACGCAAGACAGGATTAATTATTCACGGTGAAAGAGAAGGCTTTACAAATGGCTGGAGATTCGTTAATTGACGTTGAGTTTGTCACTAAATGACTCAATGAGTTATGTATTCGTTACTGAGTAACGGGTATTTTATTCGATTCGAAATGCCGAAAAATTAATCTAAAATTTCGTTGCTCTAGTAGCCAGTATAGTTTCATGTATAAATGTAATTTTGATAAAAATCAACTTACACACAAACTATAAGAGCTGGAGTACGTTTTTACAGTGTTTGTAAGGTCGCGGATTCGATTCCCACCGGCTCCAACATGTGTCGAATCAATGTATAATTTTTCTGTAACTTTGTCTGGAAATTAAGATATGAAGTCGGTTACGAACCACCGTCCATAGATGAAAAGGCCATGACGTTAAATCGCGTTTCGGTTTCAGTCGGTATGTGGATTTCCGAATAACCAAAATAGGTCAACGCATCTATATATCTATGTTATCTTGTTAAAGGCGTTTTAGTACTTGTGTAATTTTTATTAAAGGCTGTGCACAATTGTTAAAAATATTTTTTGTACAGCCGACAATCGAACGCGGGACCTGATCTAAGTGAGGCGCTCATTGCTAGTGATTAAGCCTAGACGCGGCTCTCAGTCCGTAGCTGTCTTATATAATATTCCCTGCGTTAAGAAAATGTTCGTATTTGAACTTTATATGTGTAGTTAAATCTTAAATAACAGAATAAAATTGGTAACCACACGCACGTGTACAATACACAAGCACGTACGGTAATAGCAAATATAATATTCTAGTCTTTTGAATTCACGACGCCGACTCACGATGCCAAGGTACCTTGGCCTATTTTTTTTTCTTAGAACTACTTACTGTACAATGATCTTGCTTATGCGTGGTTTAATCTTGAATATTTATTCTGTAGGTTGCACTACAACCTTACAAATTATATCCCTAACTAGCTGACTATTGCTTCCTAACTATTTCGAACTAATTGTTCGAAATAGTACTATTTGACTACCATAAACAGTTATTGCGTGTTAATCTTAATTCATGTGCTGACGCAGACATTTTTTAGATCATTTTAAAGAGGAATCATTCTTTCATACATATTTTTCGGATATCATGAACCGTTTTCGCAACGCTTACAAAGGAAACCCTTAAAAACGAATAATTTTCCCACTTTTTCATCATTTGTAAGCTGTTAAAAGCAATAATGCGGGTTGGTTTCAGACAGTGACTTTTTCGTCCAAAGCCAAAGTATGTAGACAGTGTATAATTAAATGCGATGTTATCATTGTCATAATTACTTTTCTATTCTTAGAAGACCTTTTGTTCTGCAGAAATATTGACCCATGTCTCGCTTTTGCATCGAATAAATAGTTCGATGTCGATAAGAAATTAAAAGTTTTAAATAAATCACTTTACACACATTAACACTTTTAAAGGTTGAAATAAAATTGCGCGAGAGGTGCATGTATAAATATGTTGAAAAAAAATTATGATGACATCTAGGACTCGGTAGCTCAATTTGTCAGAGCAATAGCATGGACGCTATAAAAGTCATGCCCGAGTCGTAAATTATTTTCAATTTACAGTCGATTTTTTATTTAGAGCATTTGCAATAACATGTGAAAAATATTAAAGTTTTCAATATCAAATATTACTTAAACTTCACCCTCGACGTAGGATGCACTAACCCTCTTTTATGTTCAAGTAGAGGATATACTCGTAATCGTAAACTTGCAACTAAGTGACAAGTGAACGCTTCCAAGTGAATTAGAAATTTTCACTTTGTACACAAATTATAAAAATAAATTTCATCTATACTGATATTATAAAGCTTAATAGTTTGTTAGTTTGAACGCGCTTATATCAGGAGCTACAGGTTCGAATTGTTTTTGTTGTCTTTTTGTGTTGGTTACAGCATTTATCGAGGAGGGCTTTAAGCTATAAAACGTCAGCGGAGAAGTAGTGGGAAATGTGAATAAGTCGAGGAAAATTATTCATCTTTAAGGTTTTCAGTCGCGTGCGCTGCAAAAACGGTGGAGAAACATGTACCTGAAATGAATAAAGATTTATTTTTCTTTTATAATCTAAAAATATCCGCAAACGTACATGTCTTTGCTTTACGATTAACACAGGAACGATGGACGGTGTAATGGGTAACAGCTTTATAAAGCATGCTAGCTAAGGCTAGTCATTAATATTTTTTGACACAATAGAACACATTAATAGATAATTATATAAATACATGGTAACTCAATTTGCCCTAGCAAATGTACTTATTATTAATAATCCCTATATTAAAGTTTACGCGAGTAGTACACATTTAAATAAAATACTTTAACAGTTTAAAACGCGATATATTTTAAGTAAACTTGTTTCAAAATTGTTTTTAACTACGGCGCGACGTGCTCTGCAGCAGCCGTGATCACGGGGAGGCAAAGCATCCGAAACGTCGGACCGTAGTTAAACATAATTTTGAAACAAGTTTAACTAAAATACTAAGTGCTGTATTTAACTTATCTCAAAAGGTTTATTAAACATAATACACAATATAGAATATATTTAATTCTACATTGTTTTCAGTACGTTTTTATTACAATCATGAAGAGTGGAGAACTTCCTAACTCCTGTTTATTGTGAAATACGAAGCGAAGTTTATTATTAAGCATACAAGGAGGATCGGATCAGGCTGAGAGGCTTAACAAGTTCTAAAAGCATAACAAGCTGTGTCATTGAGTAGCTAACAGGAAGATAAACTTTTGTTTATTGAGTTTCCTGTTAATTCATGTAGTATTATATCTTACCCGCTGTTACCCACGACGTCGATGTTATGTATCATATTAAGTATTTTTTTTTTGCAAACCAATGCCTCACCTTTATAAATTATAGCTGTTACCAATGACGTCTACCGTATCCCGTCGTTCTTGTGAGTTCGCGCAACGGACCTAAGAAAAGCCCTGATAGTAGACTCCGCACAAAAACGCTGATCTAATACTGGTTCGATTTGAAACGATTGGATACTATTATTTAAAGAGCTCCTAAGATTAGCACTCTTCAGCTTTTTAATATTAGTATAGATCAAGTTTTAAAGCTATGCTGTTGAGTATAAGGTTTATTGAAGTAATGTCGATTATAATTGTTGTTATAATAGCAAGTTACCAATGAACGCCGCCTGGAATTCGAATTCTATTCTATCAACGTGGTTGCATGTATTTTTTTTATTTAATCATCACGAACGAACGCGTGATGATTAAGTGAAAAAAAATCACACTCTATTTGAAGAATTTTCTTCAAACTGAATATTTAATGTTTAGGGAAATTATAAAAGAGCTATAACTCGTATTCTTTTTTTTGAAGTAAGTCAAATTATCTGGAAGGCGTATTTTTATCCGATGTTAGTAAGGATATCGTAGTTTACCGGGTAGTAAACGGCACATTAAAATAAAACACTTTAACGGTTTAAAACACGATATATTTTAGTTAAACTTGTTCTTAACTACGGCCCGACGTTTCGGATACTTTGCAGCAGCCGTGGTCACGGGAAGACAAACAAGTTTAACTAAAATATATCGCGTTTTAAATTATTAAAGTGTTTTATTTAAAGGATATCGTATTTCTATATAACTGGAGTAACTGCAATAGGTAATACAAAATGTAAACACAAGACAATGTAAGCGTAGGCTGCGATATCGTAAATCTAGCGGAGAGATCAGAGCGTTACAAAAATAGGTTAAGTATTTCAAGTTAGCAGCACTCCAACAGTCGTAAAATGATAGAATTTCTCATGTGAATTTTTAGGATTCTCATTATGCTAATATTCCTAGTATTTTCGCTATCTTGACCTTAATTGTATTAATTAATGACTACTAGAAACGCGAAAACACATTTATAGACACTGTTAAGCTACCAAAATGTTTCGAATTGTTTGTATCATAGTTTGAAATATGTATTTTCAAATTGATAAATGTACAATTGTTCGACATTTC